CCCCGGGTGTTGTCGGACAGGCAGAGTGAAATACGGAAGGAAACAGATTCTGCTCTGAGTTCTGCAGTGGGATCGCACTCTTACCCCACCACCCCTTCGAGTCTTTTAGGGGAGGTTTCCAGTGCAAGACTCTGCGAGAAGAGGGATCCGGCCGCCTAGGCGCGGGAATAGCGAACGCGCACCAAGAGGCCACGACCCCCGGTGAGGCGCCAGTCGGGCGCAGTTTCGGAGCCCTGGAGCCCTGGCTGGGCAGGGGAGCCAGCGCAGGCGCAGCAGGAAACGCCCCAGGCCGGGCCCGCGGGGCTAGGAGAGCAGTGTCTGGGAGGGTCAGGGTGGCGCTGGGCCAGGGCTGCCCGCCCGGCTCACCTCTCCCTGGACCTGGGAGGGGTGAGGCACCGCCCGCGGGCCTGCCGATGCCCCGCCCGCCCCCTCCATGGCCCCGGCCCGGCGAGAGCTACAGCATGAGAGCCGGTGCCGCCCCTCACGGCCGGTGGACGCGTGGCGAGCCGCGGCGGCCACTCGTGGGCACTGCATGGGGACGCCGGGGGCCCGGCGACGCGCACGGCGCAGAGGCTGGGGACTACCCCGAAGCTCCTCTGCGCTGGCGGCAGTGGGACTACTGTGCACTGCGTTGACCGCCTGCATCTGCTGGGGACAGCTGCCGCCGCTGCTGCCCTGGGCGTCCCCAGCCCCGCAACGCCCAGTGGGTGTGCTACTCTGGTGGGAACCCTTTGGGGGGCGCGGCGGCCACCCCAAGCCTCCCCCCGATTGCAGCCTGCGCTTCAACATCAGCGGCTGCCGCTTGCTCACCGACCGCGCGGCCTATGGGGAGGCTCAAGCAGTGCTGTTCCACCACCGCGACCTGGTAAAGGGACCCCCCGACTGGCCCCCGCCCTGGGACGCTCAAGAACGCACGGATGAGGCGCTGGGGCTACGCATGTTCGATAACCAGGAGGGAGCGGTGATGCTAGCTGGCGAAGCCCTGGAGACCGCAGGCTCGCGTCCCCCAGGTCAGCGGTGGGTATGGATGAACTTCGAATCGCCCTCCCATACTCCAGGGCTGCGGGGCTTGGCTAAGGACCTCTTCAATTGGACACTGTCCTACCGGACCGACTCGGATATCTTCGTGCCCTATGGCTTCCTCTATCCCAGGAGCCATCCTGCTGACCAGCCGTCAGGCTTGGGCCCCACACTGGCCCGCAAGCGGGGACTGGTGGCCTGGGTTGTGAGCCACTGGAACGAGCGCCAGGCACGGGTCCGTTACTACCACCAGCTGAGTCGGCACGTGTCTGTGGATGTGTTTGGCCGGGCGGGACCCGGGCAACCAGTGCCAGCCATCGGACTGCTGCACACTGTGGCCCGCTACAAGTTTTACCTGGCCTTTGAGAACTCACAGCACGTGGATTATATCACTGAGAAGCTGTGGCGGAATGCCTTTCTGGCTGGGGCCGTGCCAGTGGTGCTCGGTCCAGATCGTGCCAACTATGAGCGCTTCGTGCCTCGTGGGGCCTTCATCCATGTGGACGACTTCCCTAGTGCTGCCTCCCTGGCTGCCTACCTGCTCTTTCTTGACCGAAACGTGGCTGTCTATCGCCGCTACTTCCACTGGCGCCGGAGCTATGCGGTGCACATCACCTCTTTCTGGGATGAGCCATGGTGCCGGACATGCCAAGCTGTGCAAAACTCTGGGGACCAGTCCAAGAGCATCCACAACTTGGCAGACTGGTTCCAGCGATGAGGCCATTCTGCTGTGAATTTACGTCTCCTTGGCTGAGTTTTCTAAATACCCAATTTTTCTTTATGGGAAGAAGATGAGTTACTAATTAATATTATTTAGCACAAGGATGGGACAATTGCCAGGCCTTCAATAGCTTTTTTTTTTTTTTTACAGAGAGGTGAGCTGGCTATCGATCGGGTAAGGGACTGTGGTGCCCTGGGTGAAGGAAGCCCTTCCTTACCTGTCACCCAAGTGAAGAAGTGGCCTATCCTTCTGGCCACAGGCCTTATCAGGGGGCCCATGTGGCCTCTACATTTTAGATGTATTTGTTCTCTGGTCATGGTTGCTTGGACCAATGAGGAGCAGCCCACTGTGTTTTGAAAGCCAGTGGGTAGGAGAGAGTGGAAAGATGTGCACACAGGTGGGGTTTTCTCTGGTGGTTGGATTCCTCAAACCCTCTGAACCTGGAAAAGATAAGAAGCCATTGAGTTCCTTCACCAGCCGTGTGTGTCTCCAGCCCTGTGAATAGAAACAAGAGGCAAGATTATCCTCAGAGGAAAATTAAGATGAAGACTTGGATGTACCTCACTTCACACTAGAATCCTACTCCTGAAAAGCTGCATTTAAGTGACACCCCAAATTCAGGGACCTAAGCGACTGAAAGTATTTAGTAGAAATAAATGAAAAGTCCCTTTGCAATGTGAACGACCATCTTCTAAGTTTGTCTTCTGTCTTTATAGTTTCCCATAACCTAGATTAGGAAAACATTAAAAATACAGATATGAAAGAACCACAGCCAATTTCCTCGCTCTTTTCCAAGCCACTGTTTACAAATGGAAGAGGCATAAATGGTGACGTCTTGTCTACAATTTTGTTTATTCTGTGTCTCTGCTGGACCTGAAATTTAAACTGGAATGTGAGTCCTTCAGCAGTGTTGGTAGTGCTATGTGGAGAGACCAGTAAAGGATTTTGGTGAACCGTGGGTCTGTGCAAAAGGAAAAGGAAGACATTTGTGGTGTCTGTATGTAGTTGTTCGGTTTCTGTCCATTTTTTGTTCAGTGGAGCTGACCTAGTGCTTACAATTAGTTGTCTGTTCTTTGTTCTCCCCCTACCCTGCTCCTAGGTACACTCACTCATTCCAGTGCCTTGGTTCCTGCACTGTGGAACCAATCTTGAAAACACAGTCATTGATTTCCATGTTCAACAGATGTCAGGGTATACCAAATATTTGTGGTGCCAAATACTAGGCTTGAGCTCCCAGGGGAAGGAAGGTAAAGAAAGGTGTGAGGAATTGTCTCCTCTTTGGGGCTCCTACCATCTACTATTGCCTCAGGGGAATAGGGATTTTGGTTACACAAAGTATTGTTTCTAAATCAGCCAGTTGACTGAAGGCCTCAAGTTATTAAACCAGGCCCCTCAGACACTGTTATGGGCTGGGCCCAAGATTAACTTGCTGTATGCAAAGTTCTGCCGGTGTTGGGTCAGGACAGTTATTTGAATCTTTGATCAGGTTTACATCCAAGAGCTTTTGTTGCATGTAGGCAGGCAAAGCTACTTAGGCCCAGGTGCTTCTAGTCCCTGTCTTCCATAAAAGGAATAATTACAAGCTGTGAATATCATCACCTCATTAAAGTGTTACAGTGTAGGCAGAGCCACAGTTGCAGGACACTAGCCCCCAACAAAGGCAAATAAAAGTTCTGGGGGTTTTGCTTGTTTACTTTGGTTTTCAGACAGGGTTTCTCTGTATAGTCCTGTAACTCTCTTTGTAGACTAGGCTGGCCTTGAACTCAAGAGATCCACCTGCCTCTGGCTTCCTTGGGCTGGGATCGTATGACTGCAGTGATGCCCAGCTTAAAAGTTATGATTTTAAGATGAATATTAATGAAATATTGAGCAGGGGTCTTATAGGATTTGATAATCTGGGTTAGTTTTGCCTTCCACCTGGGGACTACTGGGATGAGGAATGAGTCTGAACATAAAGTTCCTTTTCTGTGAAATGTGGGAGGATTTACTGTGTGAAGTAAGCGATGCCGCCCCATGTTTAGTGGGCAGTTGGCTTGCTAAGTATGTGTCTCTATAAGCATATTGCCTATTTTTCTTTGTAGGAATTTTATATACCTGCATATGTATTTTACATTTGAAATTAAATTTCAAGATCTATTATAGAACAAATTTTAAAAAAGGAAAGTTAGTCATATATTATGTATTTCAATAAATCCTTAAAACTGAGCCATATTTCAGGATCATACAATTTCTATAAAGCGTATATTTTCAGTTTAGAAATATGTATGTTTTGATAAAGCTATGTAATTAAATTAGTTTGGATTGTTTCACCTATACCTTCTGCATTAAATCTATGTAAAACTAGCCTGTGTTGATGGAATATTTATTATGAGTAAGAGCGCTTCTGGATCTTATGTATTTCAAAATGTGTTTTCTGTGATTGTCATGGCTTTGTTTAAGGCATACACTTTCCTTTCAAGTCAAACACCAATGTAACCTTTTTACCCCTCGATGACCCTTAATCCATGAACACATCTGGAAGGATATTCTCAGAAGCCAGAAGAACTTGCTGGCAGTACTTATATTCTTTTGTATTCCCAAGCCTTTTCCTGACAGAGGAAGACAGAGAGGGTGCCAGGGTGCATTCAGGAAAGAACTTGCAGTTGGGAGCCAGAACCTGAGACACTGGCTTGGCCACCTTTGGCTTCCGTGGCCCAAGTCAGGCAAGTTATATAAGTACTTGAGTTGTAGCTTCCGTTGTATGGCATGAATGCCCCAGGAAACCATCCTGGAGAATGATGCGTGTGCCCAAGCATTTTGTCCATTGTAATGTACTACGCCTTGAAGAATCAAATCCTTGAAGGCCCTAGAGCAGTTTAGTACACATTTTCTGTCCAGGGCCAGAGTGACTATTTCAAGCTTTGCAGCCTGTACTCTTCTTTGCTGTGGGCGTGCAGGAGCAGCCTGGAGGAAGCAGACCAGCAGGGATACTAGCTGCTTACTTTAGCCCTAGAGTAAGACAGAGTTCGCCAACTCAGCTCTAAGTGTTTACAGATGATGCAAGACAGTCTGGAAACTTAACTGTTTTTAAAAAGTATAATCTGACAGGCATCTTTTAAAAGGGATTTAATAATTAGGATTTAAGAATTCTGGGGGTGGAAATTACTGGGTTCCTAGACCAGCTTTGCAACATTCCCTAGTTGTCTGCTCTTGGGCAAATTATTGAAGCTTCCTGTGTTTTGGAAGTCTCATCTCTAATTGAAGGTAAACATGTATGGGGGTACATAAGACCCTCAAGGAGTCCTGGCCCTGAAGATGTGCCTAGAAACTGTTCAATGATATTACTGACACCGGGGTAGCCTACAGAGGGAAGGGCCAAGGTCCAGACCCTCTAAAGGACTTATCTAAAGTGACAGTAATGTGGCTTGTGTGTGTCACACACCCCTTGAGCACTGCCACCTGAACTGCAGAATGAGGGGGCTGATTAAAAGCTCTAGGGGCCTTCTGGTTCTTCTCTCTGTTTCTCTGTCTCTGACTCTCTTGTCCATCTCTGTCTGTCTGTCTTTCTCTTTGTCTCTCTCTCTCTCTCATTCTGCTAATTGATTGGCTCCCTAGAGCTTAGAGTTAATTGTTCTCTGATGGCTTCACACCCAGGAGCGCAAACCAGGGGATGGAGTGGAGAAGGGGGAAGAGAGACTATGGGATTTAACACCAGTGTGTGTGTGTGTGTGTGTGTGTGTGTGTGTGTGTGTGTACACATTATACTTCTCAGACACCAAGGAGAGGAATCAAATACTTGGTTTTGAGTTGGGCAAGGTATACATTTAGGTCACTTTTGTTGTCTCTCAGGACCCTTTATGCTACATGGTCTTTATGTAAATAAGCTGAGTTTATTTTGACAAATAATTAAAGTAATCAGATAGAAAATAGCCCCTTGTTTATATGCACTAACAGATTCATCTCTGACCCACAGGCATCGTTCTGTTGGTGGGGTGGAGTCTGTGAGCTAGCCGGTTTGGCTCTGGTTTGCCCGTGTGGAGCTGCACTAGGCAGGCCCGGCTCAGCTGGCCCTCTCTCTGTTATTTCCTTTCTCATTTTACAGTGACTTGCTTGCAAGGGCACACGCTTGGTTTCCCACCAGGCTTGTCCCTACATGCTCCTGTCTTCTCAATAGTATAGTTGCTAGCTCTGCCCACCACCATAAGTAATGTCCATTTTGGGTAGCATAGAGACTGCAAACCTAATGGGGGAGTGGTGGGCTGAGAACAGAAAAGGTAGGCTTTATTCTTTATAGAAGGCACAAGGTTCACCAAGAGAGGAAAGTGTAAGGTTGGACGAACACTGGGGATTGATTCTCTTCTGTCTTCTCTGGCACACACACAGTGACATATTCACTTAAGTATCAAAAGAAATGGCCATCTAAAAGGCAGGACTGCCAGGGAAAAAATTCAATAACATGGGTTCAAGTGTGAAGTTGGCTGGAGAGTGAGGAGGGAGATAGGCGTGGAGTTACTAAGAACCAAGAGAAGAGACCCCAGAAGCCAAGCCTGAGGAAGGAGGGGTAAGAGCAGGAGAGAAGAGGGAGCTTGGGTTGAAGGCCCAAAGAAGTAGAAGAAGGTAGGGTGTGTGCACCAGCTGAGGGCCAGTTTAAAAGAGCACTGTCTACCATGCCCTTTGGCTGAGAAGAATCCTTTGTGCAGCTTGAAACAGCCTCTGTGGCCGATGGGAGTGAAATCAAGGCAGGAACTTACTGAACAGAGAATTAACATAAAGCCCAGATTCATTATAGCAGGCTCTTGAATGCTTATGAATGCTACTTTTTTTTTTTTAATCTGGGAAAAATCTCATGTTAATTCCAGTTAACATATGTCATAAGTCCTCAATATCCATTTTTAAAGAAATTGATTTTTTTTAAAACAATCACCAACATTCTTTTTAAAGAAAATGGGGGTGGGGGTTTCTTGGAATGTCAAGCACATTTTCATTGCCTGTAAAGCCTTGTGAAACTATTTCAAGTGAGATTTAAAGAACTGGATTTTTATGACATTCACTTTGAGATTTTTAAAGTTTTTTTAAATTATAGTGCCTTGGGTAAGATGGCTCAGAGGAGGAAGGCACTGGCCACCAGCCTGGTGATCACAGTTTGATCTCCAGCCCCCATATGTTCAAGAAGCAAACTGGCTCCCCAAAATTGTCCCCTGATTTCCATGTGTGTATGGCACATGCATGCCCACATGTATATGCCTACATATACAATAAATGAATAAATGAATATAAATATGTAGTAAAGAGAATGTCCCATTAGACCGAATGCTAAACATTTGTGAAAGAGCTTTTCAAAGGAGGAATATGGAGTGTTAGTAATTAACAAGTATGTCCGAGTGGCTCCTGTGCTCAGGCTCTGCACTCAGACAGAGAGATGTAAAGAAGATGAAGGTTCAGACACAGCATCCAGATGTGTATGTTCTCATCAAGGAAGTGGATAGGAACGAAAACTTCTGAAGAGCAGCTGCATCTGGCTGTGCTTGAAAACCCCTGAAAGGAATCTGCAGACTATTGACTGGTTAGAGTTTCAAGACTGTGGAGAGCCTGGAGAGTTGCAAGCTCAAAGGCTAACTCCCTTTCTTTGGGCTGAGTTCTGCCCCTCCAGTACAGCTATGCCTTGCACTCTGTGTCAGAACTAATGTCTCTGACAATAGATTAAAACCTTTAAAAATCCATTTCTCTAACAGGAAACTAGCTTCTACCAATCTAAAAGCTAACAGTGTCATCAGGCAGCATCTTGAGCTTCTCCCGTCTTGGTATACCTGCTTCGCTGATACGCTCACCAATGCATTCTTGAGCTTCTCCCGTCTTGGTATACCTGCCTCGCTGATACGCTCACCAATGCAGTTTAAACTAGCCTCAAGTTATGACTTTATTCTTTAAAACTATAAAACCTCTGTGCAGTAGCTTTCAAGTTGGAACCTGGATTTCAAGTAACCTAAGTCTGTGTTCCTAGGCAATGGTCACCCAAAATGGCTCCAGAGTAAACTATCTCTTATTTCTCTTTAAGATGAGATCTGTGACTTTTTGTGTCAACAACAACTCCAACACATGCTATTGCCACAATAAATGTTTGTTACAGGAAGAGCTATCACAGCATGTGTGAGACTGTGGAGAGCCGAATAGTGCTGTGCCTTTAAGATGGCACTGGTCTCCGCCTTCCGCCACCTGCTGGCGAGGACTCTTAGGAGTAAACAACTCCTTATATGGCAGTGGCAGTTGATCTGGCTTGTCTCCGTGTGTGTGGACCTATCTGCTGTTGCCACGTGGCAGACAGGTTGGCTAGTCCTAGAGTACTTAAGCCTGGGAGAGCTTCCCCCCCCCCCCCCCCCCCCGGGGGCGGCAGGTAGAAGGCCGGCAGTTAGAAGGTCATCAGTTAGAAGATTGTTCAAGGGTCCTGATTAAACTGCTTGGAGAAGAGCTCCTGCGTTGCGTCTTCCTTGCTGGTCGAGGGTGGACGCGACATGAGACCACAGACTGAAGTTCTCACGGAGCCCTGGAAGCATCAGAGCCCCACAAACCAGGGAAGCATCCCCTCTAACCCCTGCACCCCACCACCACAAGTAAAGTTCCTCTAATGTTATATGGAAAAATGCCAGTGCTACAGCCTCTGGCCTCAGTCCGTTGTCTACCTGGTGGTTGTCACTAATACTACAGTTAACATGAGAGCTGTGTTCAAGTAGCACCTTCAAAATGACTAATCCCTGTAGAGGAATTTGCTCTCTTAGCAACTAGGCACACCGGTTCACACCCTCTGATTTTCTGGTTTTCCTGCGGTTAAGTCAACATTTTAGAAGGTTCCCACATCTGCCCACTATCTTGGCAATCAAATAATAATGCCTCAAAATAACACTAGAAGCCCTTACGGTTTGTCAGGCCTTCTTGGGGAGGAACGCAGATATGGCTCCTGAACAAATGGCAGAGGTAGTAGCTGACCAAGAATTGTTATTTGCAAAGCTCCTCATCCATACTGGATACTTTAAGCTCATACTGATTCTAATCATTCTCCTTCAGAGAAAGACAGTGAGAGTGGGAGGATGACAACCATTGGTCCTGGTCTCCCGGTATTCACAGTCATGTGATCGCCCTTCTAAAGTTTGTCTGGGTTTGGGTAGCCCACCACTGACAAAGAGCATACAGACTCGATGGCTGACTTTCTAAGACTAGGTTATAGAG